AACACCAAATTTTACCTATTCACAATTTGCTTTGGTCTCTACATAGTCATGAAGAAAATCTTAGTTTTTTCCTTGAGAAAGGATTCTTACCTTGGGGATTCACACATAAAACCTAAACTTTTTAAGTTCACAAAGAAGACTGAACATGAAAGTGAAGATACAGAAAGCAATCGAAGAGGACATGCGAGAACCCAACCCAGTACAGGCATGAGGAGTGTAGACATCCTCTTCCCTTAGAATGTAGTACATGTTTTCCAAGTCCAAACAAAGGAAATAGTAAAGAATAAGAGTTTGTGATAGAATTCTAAGGCTATTCTCCCAGTTACAGAAACTTTCAAAATGAGAACTTGACCTATATTTTATTACTTATTTTGTAGTAATTCTAAATTGATCATAGCCATCAAAATATTCATTGCACTTCCTGTTTCAGAATTCCTTTCTTTTCCCCAACTATATTATAAAGATGTTTCCATCCAAAGGTTGCCATGTACCCAGCTTATGTGAATACACCACGTTATTGCACCTTTTAAAATTTCTTTTCAAGGAGATAAATTACTTGTTTTGTATCTACCTTCAATTAGTTAGAAAAACGGCTATAATAAGATGCAAAACTTTTCAGGAGTTTTTTTTTTTTTTTTTTTAGTCCTATTGCAGAAGTAGAAGCAGTTGTATTTTACCAACCATCTCCATTTATGGTTAAGGATTACGGTAACAGGAGAAACAAAGATGCTGATTTTCACAATGACTGAACATACAAGTGAAGGTATAAGAAGTAAGAAGTTCTCGGGGCACAAAGAACAAGATCTGACCATAGAATGAGATCCATTAATGGTGCCCAAAATGCAGGCCCATAAAACTGATTTAAGCATCTGCTGTACAAAAGTATACAATGGTTTCAAAAATTCCAATTAATGTTTCTCTACTATGTGGAATCTGAAAAAGATGGCATGAAAGTAGAAGGGAGACTATAATTAGGCACAAGAAAGGGAATAAGGAGGAGGGGGAGATAAGTGTAAGGGTAAGGAGAAGGGTGGGATGACAGAAATATAATACAGGCACACATGAAAACATCACATTAAAGCCCAATATTTTGTAAAATTACTAAACACTAACAAATTTTTTTTTTTTTTTTTTTAGGTACCAGGGACTGAACTTGGGTCCTTATGCTTGCAAGGCAGGCCACCGAACCGCTGAGCTAAATCCCCGGCGCCCAAAAATATTTTTAAAATATAAAAAATATTTCCATTTATCCAGGGAACTAAGAAAAATAGAGCTTGAACAGAATAGAATTTGAGCTTCTTTAATATTTTTTTTAAAGTGTAACTTTTAAGAAGTTGAATTTTATAAATGTCAAACAGGCATTGATAATCAAATCAGAACAAGAGAAAATAGACAAAAAAGGAAAAGTTTCATTTTGGTGGGTCTTTTTGTTTGGTTTGGTTTCGCTTTGGGGGTTGTTTTGAGACAAAGCCTCACTATATATAGTTAAGGCTGGACTTGAACTCATGGCAATGTTCCTGCCTCCATCTCCCAAGTCCTGGGATTATAGGCATGAGCCACCACACTCAGCTAAGAACAGTTTTAATTTTAATTGAGGCATTAGAACTATTTATTAAACTCCTATTTTTTTTCTTGTCTAAAAAATTTTACTGAAAAAATAAACCCTGCCACCATCCCTTCATAACACAAATGTGTTACAGCTCTGGGGAGCCTAGAGTATGTTTATTAATCCAAACATTTCCAAAACATCTCTCCTTACATGTAAGTGTGAGTGTCTAGTGTTCCAGTGAGAGAAATAATTGACAGGAAAGAATTCAAAAGAGCCAAGCAAAGTGGGAGTCACCTTGTAACAACAGTGAAGATGGATAACCAGGGAGAGGTTTAAGGCTAGAAAATATTGTTTGTTTGAAAGAAATGAAAACCAGAAAATAGAGGGTCTGAAGACCACATGGGCAAGATATTAACTGATCAGGAAAATTTAGGAAAGCAAGTGTCTGCTCAGGTTTCCAGCAAAATGAGAGAGTTTGTGTGACCATTTCATAGAACTAGGAAACCAAGGAAATGTTACCACTGATATATTAAAAGTATCTAGTAACTAAGTTAAATATAACTGCCCAGTACAATGGTATGTGCCTGTAAGGCCCCAATGTTTTGGGAGGCTGAAGCAGGAAAATCACCTCAGCCCAGAAGTTCCAAACCAACCTAGGCCCCATATCAAGACCCTGTCTTGAAAATAACACTAATAATAACAACTAAGGGCCTAGATTATGAATAGAAATGTGTGGATATTAAAAGTAAATAAGAAACATTAGCTACAGCAATAAAGCAATAGAAAGAAACAAAAAGGATATGTATAGGAAAGGAAGAATTATCAAATTATCATTATTTGCAGATGATATAATTCTCTACCTACAAGACCCAAAAATTCTACTAAAAGACTGCTAGAATTAATAATCAAAGTCAATAATGTAACAGGATACAAAGTAAAAACAAAAAAAAATCAATAGCATTCCTATGCTGTAATAATGAACTCATTAAGAAAGAAATTAGGTAAACAACACCATTCACAGTAGCATCAAGAAAAATTAAATACTCAGGAATTAACATAACCAAGGAAGGGAGACCTCTACAACAAAAATTACATCTCTCTGAAAAAGGAGATTGAATAGGACATCAGAAAATAAAAAGATCCCCAGTTCTTGGATAAGCAGAACCAATACAGTCAAAATGGCCATACTTCCAAAACTCATATTCAGATTTAACACAATCCCAATCAAAATACCAACAATGTTCCTCACAGATCTACAGAAAACAACCATAAAATTCATTTGGAACCAGAAGAGACAGCACAAGCAATTCTGGGAAACAATAGCAAACAGGAGGCATCACAACCCCAAATTTGAAGTCATATTGATAAAAACAGTATGGGACTGGCACAAAAACAGAAAATGTGGATCAATGGAACAGAATAGAGGAACAAGAAACAACTGTAGACACACTGAACTTTGAGTCCAACAAAAGGGCCAAAAATATAAACTAAAGAAAAGATACCCTCCTTAAAAAATAGTGCTGAAAAAATTGTACATTCGCATGCAGAAGATTGAGTCTAGACCCATATATCTTACCATGCATGCAGAAGATTGAGTCTAGACCCACATATCTTACCATGCACTAAATTAAAATCAAAATGATTGAAAATCTAAATGTTAAAACAAAATCACTTAAATCTGCTGGAAGATAAACTAGGTTAAATCCAAAGCAGGTATGGTGGTACACACTACCATGCATAATCCCAGCACTTGGGAGGCTGCGGCAAAAAGATTGCCAAGAGTTGGAGGCCAACCTGGGGTACATAGTGAGTCCAAGGCCAGCTTGAACTACACAGCAATAGCCTGTCTCAGAAAAAACAAGCAAATAAACAAAACGTTAAAACACTTGAACACAGAGGCATGGGTAAGGACTTCCTGAAGAGCACGCCAATGGCACAAGAAACTATACCAAGAATCAACAAATGGGATCATATCAAAGGAAACAACCAACAGATTGAGAAGACAACCTACAGAATGGGGAAAAAAAGTTGCTAGCTACTCCTCAGACAGAGGACTAACATCCAGAAAATATAAAGAACTCAAAAAAATTAGATACCCCAAAATAAGAGACCCAATTTAAAAATGGGCAACTGAAATGAATAGATACTTCTCAGAAGTACAGATGGCCAAAAAATGTTTAAAAAATGTTCAAGATGCCTAGCCATTAGAGAAAGGCAAATTAAAATAACACTGAGATTTTGTCTCACTCCAGGAAAGAATGGCTATCATTAAGATATCAAAGAATAACAGTTGGGGATTTAGCTCAGTGGTTCCACCGCCTACCTCACAGGCGCAAGAACCTGAGTTCAATCCAATGGCTAGACTATGGAGAAAAAGGAACACGTCTAAATTGTGAGTGGGAATACAAACTAGTACCGCCATTATGAAGATCAGTGTAGAGACTCCTCAAAAAACTAACAATAAAAAGTCCATTCAACCCAGCTACTCCCCTTCCAGGAATCTTCCCAAAAGAAAGTAAAGGCATCATATTACAGCAATACATGCATAACCATGTTTATAGCAGTGTACATAACTAAATCTTAGGAACAGTCTATATGCTCAACAGATGAATGGATAAGAAATTGTGGTATTTATACACAATGGAGCATTACTTTGCCATAAAGAAGAATAAACTTAAGGCATCTTTTAGGTAAATGGATGTACCTCAAGACTATAATGTAAAGTGAAATAAATCAGGCAAACAAGTTTAAATATCATATGGTTTCTCTTACATGAGAAACCCAAAATATAAATAAAAAGCAAAATAAAGAATAGATAATGGAGGGGGAGGGAAGGAAGGGAAAAGCAATTAAAAAAGAAATAAAAATGGAAACATTTCACTTCAAGGAAGAGAAATAAGTAGAAGTGAGCAGGAGGGCTGGGAGGGAAATGGGACAAAAAAGAATTAAGATGTGTTAAGTACGAGTACCAACTCCCCTAGATAAATGTAATTAATTCTGTACTGCAAACATACACTAATAAGAAAATCAAAACAATGCACAAATTACAGGTCATTACAATGAAACTGAAATTTTCACTTCAAAAAAAATGAAGTTTATTTTTTTTTTAATTATTAAGCTGAGTCAAAGAGCACTGGGTAATAGGATCTTGATTTATCTAATAACGTATCTATACATGATTTCCTTCCCTGAATTCAATCACTGTGTGTATTATATAATGTTTGCATCCTAACACAGTACCAAATTCTGCCTAAAATTATGGCCCTGTTCTGTGAAAAGTAAAGCAAAAGCTGAAAAACTGCCTTTCTCTCCCATCCCTCCACTGCTACTTTACCCAGTCTCAACCTGCTCCCTTGTTGTACCGAATTAACAGGTGGAAATGGAAGTTATCCCCAAGTAAAAACTAGACAACTTTTTGATTAGCCCACCCAAAACTTATTTTAACACTTACCAACATCTCCATAAACATACAGGCCCCTTGGAGGTTTGCTCCTTGAAAAAAGCTGCAAATTAAGAACAAATTATAAATCTCCATCATGAAAATAAATAGAAGGAGTCATACATATAATGTTCTGGTTTTTGTTTTTTTGTTTTTCTTTCCAGTTCTGGGATCCAACTCAGGACCTTGCACTTGAGTGGCAGGCGAGGTGTTACTGAGCTAAATCCCCCGCCCTGCACTATGCTATACACAGGATTTAGACAGACAGTTATATAGTAAGGAAGACTTGTTATAAAGTCTGTTAACTTCTTACATTTTTTTCCCTTGCAATGCCAGGTCCAAAAGAAGAGCCTATGCTAGGTGCCCCTGCCCAGAACAAGTGCCTCTGACCAGCAATAGGAAGCACAGAGGTAGAACTTCCCCTGTGATCCAGAAAGCAAACTAGTGGTGTCCAAATTCAGATGTTTCCATTTTCACACTTGAACTACTTAAGTCAAAATTCTAAAAGTAAGAAATTTAAACACACACAAATACACACTTGCAATTTATAATAAATGTAGCAGAGTATTTCAGAATTTGGGGTACACATTTTGATTCAATCCCTATTCTGAGAGGGAAACTCAATGTCTCTGTACCTTAGCTTCATCATGTGAAAAATGGAAAATACAAATATGTATGCTTTACAGATTAAGTAATGTATTTCAGGCTGGCCTAGAACTCACTACATAGTAGCCCAGGCTGGCCTCAAATTGATGGTGATCCTCCTGCCTCTTCCTCCAGAGTGCTGGGATTACAGGCGTGGGCCATCACACTCAGCTAGGCCATCGTATATTACATTATATTCACGTGCAAGAGAAAATTTATTTTCTAGTCAATATTTTTATTTATTTGTTGTACATCTGATGCCTTGCACTAAAATGTTCTATGCTTCATTCATCTGAGACTATGTACAGGAATATACTTATTGCTTTTTCCGCTTTGGCCTCATTTCTAGAATGCTTCTGGCTTTGGCTGCATATTTCCTAAAATATATGTAATGTTCATGGAATTATAAGTTTTTTTGTTTTGTGTTTTTTGTTTTTGGTATCAGGGATTGAACTTGGGACCTTGAACTTGCGAGGTAGGCGGTGGCACCACTGAGCTGCCCCTGGCCCTGTAATGATAAGTTTTGATCATACCTACTAATATACCACTGTATCCATAATTAATAAAAATGCACATACATGTTATAAACAGAGTAAACCATAAAAAGTAAGCAAACAAGGACATAAAACATTGTATGTAGATGATTTTTGTATAAAGACATATCACATGATTGGCATTTTTTGAAATATCAACAGTTTAAAGTAAAACTGAAAATCTAATACATCTTTAAAATTATTTAATTTCTACTTACTATGCAGATCTTTCAATAGGCTAAGAAACCATTCATTTTGGCTTTTCAGTATATATTTGGTAATAATTTCAATACATTTGATAAGTATTTTTTATTCTTCATTGCCCTGAAGGCAGCAACTGTCACTTACATGTTCACAGTTAAGATTTGATAATAAGGCCCGGGATTTAGCTCAGTGGGTTCCGCCGCCTGCTTTGCAAGCACAAGGACCAGAGTTCAATCCCTGGTACCAAAAAAAAAAAAAAAAAAAAAGATTTGATAATAAAACACATACAGAATGGCTATATCATAGTAAATACACAGCCAACCTGGGAAATTTTTTTGCAGTTGATGGTTGACTAATAAGCTTGATTCTTATTGGGGCCAGGGATTTAACTCAGTGGCTCTGCTGCCTGCTTCACAAGTGCAAGGTCCCAAGTTTGATCCCCGGTACCACAAAAAAAAAAAAAAGCTTGATTCTTATTAGGGAAGGTAAAGGCCATTGGCCATTGTGTAAAGGAAATGCTTTTGTAACTGAGTCAAGAGAGCAGTGTTAATTTTAACTTTCTTTAAAAATCAAAATCATGGAAATAAAGTGTTTGTAAATGGGGAGGGGAGAAGGGGGTGAAGGGAGGGCAGGGATAAGGGGAAAAAATGAGAACCAAGACCTGTCACGTAAAGGTGTAAGATCCCAATAATGAATGTAACTGCACTGTATACCTAAAATGTACCAATAAACTCAATAAAAATAAATAAATAGCTAAATCTTGGGGAAAAATCAAAATCATGGATTTAAGTGACACAAATAGGACACACATGTGTAAATACTGAATAGTTTCTCTAGTATGAGAAACTGAAACTGTAAATAAGGACTTGGACTAAAAGATATAATAGATAATGTGAAACAGGAAGAAAAGGGACAAAGGGGAAGGGGAAATGGGAGGGGTAGGGGAAAGGAAAGAAGGGAATGGAATTAATATGAGAAAATGAAAAATAATGGAAACAAAGTCTTTGTAGATAGGGAGGGAGAGGTTGAAGGGAGAGCAGGGAATGGGGAAAAAATAAGAACCAAGATTGATTATGTAAAGCTGCAAATTCCCAATGATGAATGTCATTATATTGTATACATTACATGTACCAATAAAATTAATTTTAAAAAATAATGGTAATAATCTTGGCATTTGCTACAGCAGACCAAATTGGAAGGATAAATGTTTAACTGTCTCTGAAAGTCCTAAAAAGGTTGTGCCGTATGTTGTGCAGCAAGGAACTACACATATCCGGGGGCTGCAAACTGCTGCCGGTGACTTCTTCTCACACAAGGGCCACATTCTCACTCAAGAATATTCGTTGCTATGCCAAGTTAGTGGTGAAATGTCCTAAATGTTTACCGTCTGAGAATAGGCAGATATATTATAAAATATTCTAAGTATAGAATACTCTGGATGTTAAAATGGGGGTAAATCAAACAAAAATGTAGAGCGAAAAGCAGATAGTTGTGGGAGGGCCCTAAAGAAAGACAAGTATATAAAACTTGACTTATGCACAAAATTAACATACATATATATTATAAAATTTTGTCCTAGCTATGATCCCAATGACTAGTTGTGTTTTTGTGTTTAAAGTTGCTCTGACCCACTGTTTCAGAAGCTGCCAAAACCACCTTGGCTGAATGGAACTCTTCTGCTCCCACGTTCTTGAGAAAAAAAGACCACAGTTTCTCTAGTAGCCCACCTTAGTATCCGGCAATCACAGCCAAGATGTGCAGAATATGAGGAAATCAAGCTATAATCAGCCCTTCTCTCCACCCTTCTCATTTTTTACATTAATAGATTCATACACTTGGATAAAAAAAATATATACATTAAAAATATCACTAAAATATCATTTTCACAGAAACAATGACATCACAAAATGCCAGTGAAACACAACATTAAATTTTTTAAAAGGATATATAAATGCAGTATGCATGGTACATCCCAATTTCATGCAAAAGCACATAGACTAGAAGAAAATACATCTAGGTAATAACATCACTGGTAATTTCAATTTTCTTCATACTTAATTTTTCAATTTTTCCATAATGAACATAAATTACTGTTATAAGCAGACTTTTTTTTTTTTTTTTTGAGACAAGACCTGCTTTGAACGCACTTTGTAGCCCAGGCTGGCGTCAAACTTGTGGCAATCCTCCTGCCTAAGCCTCCTGAGTGATGGGATTACAGGCGTGCACCATCACACTTCTCATAAACAGACTTTTTATGTATTTGCATCACTATGTATTTCTAAATGTAGATTGTTTTGACCTTCAAGCCACATTTTTACACCCTTCTCCCAACTCTAGTCCCTGTGGTACAGAGGAGCTAGGGCCACCCTGAGCCCGTTAGCACAGAAGACAGTAGCCCATGCAGAACCATTCAAACACTCAGCCACATCAACAACAGTCTGACAGAGGTTTTCAAAGCTTCACTTACCACCGTGGAACACACTGCCAGAGACAATTCAAAAGCTCTCAAAGAATTGTAGAGTAGAATGAAGTCAGCTGTGACAGCATTAAGTCTCTGCCTAAGAGATGATAAAGTGCCCTGTGTATTTCCTCAAGAAGCTCAGCAGCCCAAAGTATAACGAGACACATTCCCTTAAACCACACAAATATCTCTGCATTAGTCTGCTCGGGCTGCCACAGACCACACAGATTAAACAAGAAACTTGTTTCTCACTGTTCTGGAAGATGAGAAGTCCAAGATCCTGGTGCTGGAAGGTTTGCTTTCTGGATAGGGATTACCGCCTGGCTTGTGGATGACCTTCTCACTGTATGTCCTCACATAGCCTTTCCTCAGTACATGTAGGGAGACAGCAAGAAAGCCAGCTCTTTTGGGTCTCTTCTTGTAAAGACACTAATCCTATTAGCCCCATCTTTATGACCTCATGTAGCCCTAATTACCACTTCCAGGTCTCATTACAGTTGCAATAGGTGTTAGGGCTTCCACCCAAGTCCAGTCATCAGCTTGAACCCATGACTCACTATCTGTATGCAGCACAGAACTCAGCGGTCTGTGTGTTTTCCCCATCTACCTATGCAAGCAGGGATATGCCTTGGCTTAGACAGTTGCCACAGCCTAGGGCAGCGATGGTGTACAGGCGTGCCACAGGCTAGCCACCACAGGCCTACAGTATGAGAGCCTGGAGCGGGGCGGGCACTTTACAAACCCAAAGGCCATAAAGCTAGGCAGAAAAAGCTGTGGCTTGGGGTGCACTGAGGAACAACTACAACCATAGGGCCGACACCGTTTCCCAATGACACCCAGTGGGAAAGGCAAGACAGAATTTACCACTCACACACACAAAAAAAAAAATAAGTGAAGAAAGAAAATAGGTATCAGAGATGATTCACTATCCTTCCCCATATCTGGTGGGTTCCAATACTGTAAACCCTAGAAGGAAACCACTCATTCAAAAATAATGTGGAGGGCCGGGGAATTTAGCTCAGCGGTTGGTAGCCTGCCTTGCAAGAGCAAGGACCCGAGTTCAATCCCCGTATCAAAAAAACAAAAAAAAACAAGGAGGAATTGGGGGGCTCGTTTCTTTCTTTTTTGGGGGGTGGAAATTTATTATCTATTTCCTTCTTTTTCTTTTTTCCCTTTTTTCTTTTATTTTACACTCTTCTTTCTTCTTCATTGCCTTCTGTT